AGGCAGGCCAGGCCCAGGCCGGCGGCCAGGCAAGGTAGCGGAAGGTCCTGCAGCAGCAGCCAGGCGAGCGCGGGCAGCCGGTCGCGGTGCCCGTAGGCGTCGTAGAAGAGCGGGAAAGCCCTGGTGGTCCCAGCCGAGAGCAGGAGCACGTCCAGCAGCGCCAGGCAGGGGGCGCCAGGCGGGCAGCGCCAGGGCAAGAGGGCCAGAGCCAGCAGCGCCAGCAGGGCCACCAGGCCGAAGAGGGCGCCTACCCCGTACACATGGGCCTCCCAGGCCAACCCCCAGCGAGCCCTGGCCTCTGCCCAGTCGGCCTCCAAGGTCAGGAAAAAGAGGGACAGCGGGGCCGCAGGAGGCTGCCCCTCTTGTTCAGGCAATTCTCCGACGCTGCAGGACCCTGGCCCACACTCTGGTTGCACAGAAGGGGTCCCGAGGCTGGCAGGAGAGGGATCATCTGGACCAGAGGTGCGGATGGTGGCGTCTGTGGGCAAAGAACATTTTTCTGAAGAAGTTGTGCAGGCCTCCCCCAGCCACTCCTGTTCTCCCTGCAGCCAGTAGCCTGTATGCCAGTCAGAGTCCTCATAGCATCCAGGACACACTTGTCTTTAATATGAGACACGACCTCTCACCTTTTGGCCACCCATCTTCCCCTCCCCCATCAAACTCCTCCTGCAGTAGTTTCAGCTCTCATCTCTGTCTCCCACGGGGCCCCAACCCACCCCCAACTCCCTGTGTTGTCCATTTCCCTTCCTTGCTTTGTGATTCTACTGCAAATGGTTTTTCTTAAGAAGTCCCAAAATTTTACAGCTGGGAGGGACTGTGGAAGCCCCCTTGAGTTCAATTCTCCCACCTGAAACAAAACTTCATAAGAATGAGAATTTTTGTTTGCTTTGCTCACATCTGAAACCCTGTGCCTACAATGGTGCCTGGTACAGAGTTAGCACTGAGCAAATATACATTGAATAAATGAATCCTCTTATTTGCCAGATGAAGATACTAAGGGTCTTCTGCGGCAAAATGACTTGTCCAAGGTCACGAATTGGCAGAATTGCCGCTAGAATCCATATCTGAGCCCCAGTCTGAGCCCCTTCCCACGATACCGGAGCCCCTTCCTAATACTAGTTTGCTTATCTCTTGTTCTGCACCTCTGACTTCCAGCTCCCACCTTGGAGCTAAGAGAAGCTCCCCCTGCCCTTTTTCAACTGCTTCCCTGTCTCTTCAGGAAAAGCCTCCCCCCC